GTCGACTTGTACTGGTCGGTTTGACCTAGATTTTGGCTATTTCACCCGGTCGCCACGACGACCTCGAAGTAGACGCCCGGTTCGAGATCCGTCGCCAGTATGGATGATGCATTTTCGACTTCCAGTGCCTTCGCGGTTCGTCAAAAGTCACCCCTCGATGGTTGTCATGACTTCACGCATGTCCGCCCATTTGATCGGCAACTACATTTACATTTCGAGTCAAAGTGTTTGGTGAAGAGATTCGAGGTGGCATTCACCGCAAGACGACGACGATTTCAACTTTTGTCTTGTCCAATTGTTGTTGTCGTCCTCAGAGGAGGGTATCATTCCGGCATAGAAACCAAGACCAAGTGGTCGTGTTGTCAGGGCGACTTAGTTGGACGTACCCGGTCCGAAGTCATCTGTCATAGTAGTTGTCATGCGTCCGAGCGTTCGGACCGTGTACTAGCCACATTCTGAGAGAACAAGATGAGCGATAACACAACCGTTTCGCCATACAGTTTGATCAAATGATTTGCTGCATTTGTCGCTTTGACGAGTTGTAACTTGCTCATGAGAATACACCAAATTCACGATCCCATGCTGGGAATTATGCAAACTACTAGGGCAGACGACTGCGACCAAGCTGCGTCCAGGTAACTCGCCGTGACAACAAGAGCAAGTTGCCAAAATGAGGTCAGACCACATCACTCCTACAACCATATTGAAACTAACGCGTCAACAAATTGCCTCATGGAAATGGGGTGACCTCGTTGCCGCAACTTGGTCTTGTCGTCAGGGCGACTTAGTAGAATGCACCTAGTCCTTAGTCGTCTGCCGTAATAGTTGCCATAATTACAAGCATCGGACAGTGGACTTGATAGATTCTCAAACGTTTCGCCGGCATCATCAGTCAGTGTTGCCGTGGCAGTCAATCCCTCGACAAACGTTCTGCCGAAACGGTCACACCATCACTTCTCTAACTTGCTTTATACCTCACCAATAGGCACAGGCTTGGATTATGTATTCATAGCGATTTTGGGATGAGCCGGTGAGTTTTATTGACTCGTTATGTTGAATATGATTGTAAGGATGATACCCTGTCCTGTTCTGATGAAAGCTTAGCACGTTTTCAGAGGAATTGCTGAAGATTGCCTCGGAAACAACGTCAGCCAGAATGTTACAGTAAAGCCAATCGACAGCTCTTCACGAGGAATCCATTGGAGGTTGTCTTCCGGTGCGATCGACCTTTGAATCTCTTCACCAAACACTTTTACTCAAAGTGCAAATAAACGCGACACTTATGAACCAAGCGATTCCTCGAAGCCCAACTTTTATACTCTCATATGCTCATTTTTTGTCAATAAGTAAATTTAATTTTGTAATGGGCGTAAAGTTTGCCAGTCTACCAAGTACCTGGCCGGACGCTGGTAAATTAGCATGACAATTATGGCGGAGTACTTGGTACAAGCTGGCGTCATCTGGGTCGCCTTGACAACAGTACGACCTTCCATTCTAAAGGAAGCGCCGGCTGCCGTATTGGAAACCGAAGGGAGGGTGACCGCCGGATGGTACCAAGACAACCTAGTTTTTGTGACATTTCCAGCGTTGGATTGTGGACTTGGTGTATTGTATATACCAATGAGATAACATTGTTGTGGACACTTTGTTTGCGTATAAAGAGGCATGATGAAGAGATTCGTAGGTCGATCTCGCCAGAAGACAACGGCTGATTTGCGTTGTTCTGTAGCCGTTTTGTCCTTGATACAGCTTTCAGATTGACGCAGTCCACGAGACATCTTCCTTCGTTTCGGGCTTTCGTTCGTCAAATGACGAATATCACCAGAGTTGGGACTCATTCTTGCAAAGGACCCAAGTTACCACCAAGTCAATAGGTATGGACTTCATCATGTGCTTTCGTTAGCAATGAAAGTCTTTACGACTTGGTAGGCCCCCAGACGTTACGCCAACATCATCAGTCAGCTTTGCCACTTGTCTCTAGGCCTCAACTTGTCCCAGAGACTAGTGATCGACTACTCTGTTGACTAGCATTGGTCTGTCCCTCTGTCCTCGTATCGTTACTTTTGCTATCACAACTTCCGACTTGGTCAAGTTGGTCAGGGGATGGAGTTCATTTGTCTTTTTAACAAGTTGTAGTTCATTGTCAAGATAGGCTAGTTTCAGTGACGACTCCAGGGAAACGCCTGAGAATGTACCTGACACTGGATATTAGCATGACAACTTGGCAAGAGATGTTGGGCAAGATGCTTTAATCTATGTCTCCTTTATAACACGATCGAGTTGCGAAGACAGGGTCAAACCACTTCTCTAAACGAAAAGAGAAGGTGACATTTAAAACTTAGTCATTCTTGGTTTGACTTTGTTTTCGCAACTTGTATTTACGTTACTTTCCAGTAGCGGACTGGGAAGTGGATACATTCTTAGACGCTTTGTCATGACCTCAACGCAAAAAGTCTTCGGGGCTCTTAATAATTTTTGAATACGAAGTTGGTTCTTAAAGTTGCCGCTTCGTGCAAAGACCGGTCAGGCCTACCGACGATGGCTGGTGAAACGTCTCGGAATGCACCAAGTCATCAGCTCAGGGCTGGAATGTATCATGACTTCACAGGAAGAGCAGAAAGGACTGGGTATATTCCACAAGATCTCTTTGTGGCTCCTAACATGGTGCAAAGACGTATTCACATCGAAATGCATCCTGGCCGAGCTGGATTGCAGTTGCGACCTCACCAGCCCCGTCAACGGGCCTCGATATTGGGTCTTGAGTATCGTGGCGACGTTAGAAAATCGCATTGAGCGACATAGTCTGGCAAAGTTGTCAGTTAACGATGACTACTTTCAGCGCAAATGAGTAACGGCGCAATGGTAACTACACCTTTGCTCAATCGACAATGCCACATTTGCGCTGGTAAAGTCCCTAACGTTTCGCCGGCATCGTCAGCGAGAGGCCTCAAAGTGACGAGATCTCGTCTTCATGGCTTGGTCTTGACATCAGAGCGATCCAGATGTATCTCACGTTGTCCGCAGTTCTCTGTCATGATAGTCATGACAGTTTACAGCGTCCAACTTTGGATTTGATACTTTGATGTACCGGTCTTCATATCGGTGATTTATTTTTTAGGCTATTTTTCCCTACTCTTAATAGCTTATCCGCAAATTCGCTCCATTGGAAAGGATTATAAAGTTGATTCGTTCTTGTTTTCACAACTTTGTCGTTTCTTCCTCCGTCGACTGTGTAGAAAGTGGCTAGTCTCTTTGGCGATTTGTTTCTCATTGATAAGACTAACGCATCCAGTTAAGCATAAACGGTCCAATGTTGGAAGACGATGCAGCTACATTGGTAGTATGGGTCGCCTTGCCGATGTTCAAGGCCACACCATTTTGCCTTCCATATCTACGATCTAAAAATGTAGTCTGCTATGATCGCTTATGACGACTTAGGGACACAATCAGATGAGTAAGCCTCAGGATGGCATTCATTCATACTCAGCCTTGCCTACCAAAAGGCCGTATCACTCGGGCTTGAATGCAGTTTCATCAGTACCACCGGCCGGCCTCGATGTCACGTGAATATCTTGGCTACGTTATGCCTCCATTGGACAGCCATGGCTGCCTCAGGGTTGCAATGAGAGGATTTTCGATTGAGCAAGTGCTCATCTGCCATTGCAACCGATGCCATCATTTATTTTCGGTATAATTCTTAACCAACGACTTGTTCAGACTAGGTCGTTTAAGGGGATTTCGACGAGTGCTGACATCGCCACAATACGATTGGGTAGCAAAGCCTGTCGGATGTGGTTATGTGAGAGGATCAGATGAGGTCACAACGACAGTACAGTTAAGC